CCTCCACCTTTGAGGAGATTGGGAGGGAGCCCCGAGCCAAAACAAGGCGGATACAAAGGAGAGAACATCAAGTATCAACGTAGCATGCCCATCGTCAAAAACGAGGGGTGGGTGGGTGGGGCGGGTGGAGGGGGGGGTTCTGGCGGCTATGTGGGATCCGGCGGTGTGAGAAGCCTGCTGTCTTGCTGCGAGGGTGCGGGGCGTTTGTGTCGGCCTGGAAGGGGCCCTGCGGTGGCGCCTGGCTGTGCAGGCCCCGCACCTGTTTTAGCGTGCCGCGAAGATTTGCGGTTGACAGCGCACGTACAGACGGGCGTGTGCGCCCATTTGCGTGCAATAAACCCAAAGATTGCGCTCCCTGGGGCAGGTTGATTGTGTTGGCGGTTGCCAGTAATGTGAGCCCGGTCGGGTGTTGGGACGCAAAGGCAGTTGAGGCCGGTGAGAATGCGGCGTTGTTCTTGAGTCGTGTAGTACCGACGGCGGCTCCGCCGAGAGCGTGAAGACCTAAGGCTGGCAGTCTCTGGCCACGGGAGCTCTCCTGTGCGACGGTGGGCAGGGTAGTGGAGTGCGACTGGGTTAGGGTGCTCGTTGGTAACGGTGCTGTGTCGACTTCGGGGCCCCGAAAACTGCGCGTTGGCGGATGCCACGCTGTTCCGCGCGACCTGCAATAGATTGAATGCAGCAGGGTGTGGCGCTGCTCTTGAGCTTGGTGTTGCTCACAAGTTCTTCCACCAGAACGTACGACAGCCTGCCAACTTCGTCCCTTCTACACCCTGTGCAGGACAGCATAGAAGAAGAGCTGTCAACAGAGGAGATGCTGTCCGCCCCATCCTTGCTGTCAGATATCTTCAACTTCCTAGCTGCTCCTCCCATCCTGTCACAGGTGTTTCCACGCAATACTGCCACAGTTGCAGCCAACCAAGCGATTGACGAAGCGCTTCAGCTGTTGCCAGATTTTCCTTGCTCCCTCAGCAGTGCCATTCCAAAGAGTGCGCTGGAAGTTGACATTCATTCACTCCCACTCAGTCTTCAGCTGCAGCACCCTACCCTGCAACTGATCAAGAGCAGGTTGGAGGTGGGAAGCAAACCGGGGCAGAGAAAGGATGGGTTCAAGCTGGGCCTTGCTGTGGAAGGCGGCGGAATGAGAGGCGTTTTGACAGGCGGTATGCTGATGGGAATTTACGAGTTGGGCATGAGGCATGCTTTTGATGCGGTGTATGGAAGCTCGGCAGGGGCCATCAATGCCACTTACTTTCTTTCTGGGCAGGTGAGAAGTGTGCTCATCAGCTCTAGCATGTACTTCAGATTTGTGTGCTGCGATCGTGAAGGATGAAGCTTAACCACTGTTGCAGTGCTTTTGTGAGCCTTTGAATTGTGCCAAACCATGTGCTTTTGTTCACTGAAAGTGCACTACAACTCTCCAAGTTGCCTATCCTTCACTTTTGTACACATGACATGTAGTGGGATGGCCCTTGTGTTGCACTACCTTTCCTTGAGTGTTGGCTCTTTGTGTTGGCATGGTCAGCACATTCCGTGGACACAGTTTGTAGGCTGTTCCTGTGCTTGTAACTTGATCCTGCACTTTGTAGGCTGTTCCTGTACTGTGGGAACAAATAGCAGATTGTTGCAAATATGTTGCATGGCACGTCATCCTTTGAGTTCAATGGCTCTTTCGATTTGATAAACGTAACTGTTGCAGAGCTCCACCTGCGGCTGAGTGGGTTGCTGATGTCTTGTTGTGTTATGTGCAGCCACATGGCCTTGATGTGTATGCCGATGACATCTCAAACGAACGTTTCCTGGACTTCAAGCGCATCATTGGGCCTGATCCAGTCATGAACCTCGACTTTTTGGTGGACTACGTAATGAACGAAGTAAAACCACTAGATTTTGGCAAAGTTTTGAATTCCCCCATCCCCCTGAAGGTCGTAGCATCGTCCCTGGACTCCCTGGACTCCTTCATCCTCCAGAACTTTTCGACACCGCGTGAACTTGCTGAGGCCCTGAAGGCCTCAGCCACGGTTCCCGAGTTTGCTGGTGGCCCAAAACTCATCTCAGGGCACAGGCTGGTTGATGCTGCAGTCTTTGAGCCCGTCCCCTACCAGGCAGCCATCAGGGACGGCTGCACCCACGTGCTGGCACTCTGCAGCAACACACCCACCTGTGGCGCTGAGGGCCCAGTCCAGCAGGTCGTCAAAAAATTCATGAACGCAGCTGTTGGACACATAATAAACAACCCCCCTTACATGAAGGAGGCCACTCATGCCAGGCTGGAGGAGGAGAGGTTGAATGGAGGACTGACACAGAGCGAGCTCATGCTGATGGCCATGATCCAGGGGTTGAAAGGGTGGGAGCCGTCTGCCGTTGGGGGACAGGTTTCGTCGATCCACCCACCATCTGAAGTGCTAATGTCTCCATCTTGCACAGACCCCCCAACACTGAGGGTGGGGGCCGAGGAGGGCAGACGATCCGTGCGCAGGGTGCTTGAGGCGCTTGTCAGCGACATGCCAGCCTGAATTGGTTATTATTTGTTGAACTCAGTTTTGAACATCAATCGGCTTGGAGTACACAGTTTTGTTGCCCATTGCGTTGTGCGGGTGAGAATCGAGATGCTAAGGAAGGGCCACTGTGTCAGTGCACGGTGGCATTGGAATTGCTGGTCTGCGCATATGCGCTAGATGTGCATTGGGTGTATGTACTTTAGCTGTGGGAAATTTTGGGAGGAATTAATGCTGTGGGAAGTTTCAATTGTTGAGAGCCGCACTCACATGGGTGCTCGCATGGGTGTTGATGAGAGTTGTTTAGTGTTCTGCATGCATGGAGGGTCCGTCGCAGTGAGGCGATAGTTGGATGGAAGGGTAGATGGTGGGGCTATTGCCCTGCAAACAACAGTTTTGACCCATGGACCATGCATGGAATTGGGAAACTGGTGTAAATTTTTGGTTCCACGGCGTTTGTTGGTATTTGTGCCTGTGGGATCGCTCCAGGCAGTGACAGGTTCCACAATGTGCTTTCGTCTCTGGATTCAAGGCAACCGTGGATATACGGGCAACCGTGTTCCGGCAGTTGTCGCTCATCCTGGATGACAAGGTAAGGATGCCATGCATCGCCCCAAACTGGTGGGCACCTGGAAACGGACACATGGGGCGGCGGTCATATACTTTGCAAGTAGCGGTTGCACCTTTGTAGGCGGCTATGGATTGATTTGCAGTCTTCATCGAGCAAACCAAAGCCATGTGTTCTATACTGGGCTCATCAGCCTATCGGCCAGAATGACATAGTACAATTAATTGAAGTTGATTTTGTTTGGATTGTTTGATTAAGTGCAATAGGTTAATAACCTATTTGTATTCATGCATGTAGGAAAACACGTGTATTGAATCGTGCTAATCGACTACGCTTAGACACGGAACTAATTGTGTAGATACCGCCAAATATTGCCAGTGACGCCTCTTATTAAGAAAACAAGTTCAAGCAAAATGTTTTCGCACTGTGGCTTGTGAGCAAAGCGAGTGGAAATTGGTACACCGCAAGTTCTTCCGTTTTCATGCTGCGCACAAATTTTACACCTCAAATCCTTGACCCAGAACTGAATTGCAAACTGCGCCAGCGGCTCCTGGCATGGCCTTGAACAAATGTCCCATTACGCCGAACGCTCCCGGGCAGACGGGCAGTCGTCCGCCGTCACGCCTGCACCGCCCGAACGCACTCCAGATAGAGAATATATTAGTCCCTCTGTCTTTTCCGTGAAGATGCCTTCTGCTTCCGCTGACAAGGCCAACGCCGGTCAGTGGTTCAGCGTTTAGGGGTTTAGGTTGTCCGACACAAGAAGGGATCTTCGAGGAAAAGACAGAGGGGCCAATATCATGCCCTCCAGATACTGGGCGGCCACGCATCCCGGAGGGCCCAAAGCCAGCCGTGCCAGCGAAAAATGCAAGCATACAACCATACTCCCGCAAAGGTCAAAACCCGCTTGCAGTACACGCCACCGCGCAGCCGCGCCATCTTCGATTTGGCGCCCATTCCTGTCCGACGGCCTCCACCGCGCACGGCAGGCCGGCCGCGCCACGGGCCGGCGGCTCACACCAGGCCCCGGTCCCAACCCCGCCCTCGAATCCTTCGAGCCCCCCCCCGCCGGACCACCCCAAGTCAGATCCTCCGGCTCGCCCGCTCGCCGCAGGCCAGCCGAGATCATCTTCCTTCGCCCGGACACGGCCCACGGGGGGAAAGTCCCGCCCGATCGGCCCCGATCGGTCGCCAGCTAATCCCTTGATCAAATCTTTTGCTGTCGCGCGATCTGTGTCAGGAACGATCTGCAGGCCAGAAGGGCAGGTTGGCGTGGATCCGCAGCGGGGAATCGGGCCCCAAGCCACGCGGGCGGCCGAACGCGCTGATCGCCGGCGAGCGGGGCGCGGATCTGGGCGGCGCCGGGGTCGGTGGATGGGCGAGGAGGGGCGGCGCGCTGGGACGGAGGGGGATCAGTCGACGCCCGCGGCGCGGTTCTGTGTGCGCAACGTCTGGGGCTTCGTGCGCCGGCTGACGGGCTACAGGGCCCCCGCGGAGCGGGACCGCTGGCCGGGCGGCGACAAGGAGCGCTGGGAGGGCCCATCGGGGCGTGCTGGCGTGCTTGAGGCCGGCGGGGGCCTGTGGCGGAGGCTGGAGGGCCTGCCAGCCACGGTGGGGATCTGCAGAGCAAGAGCTGGTGTTAGTTGTCCCCAGGGCTGCGCCAACGACATGGGGATTCGGGGGAGGACCCGAGTTTGTGGCGATGGCTCGCCGAGCGATCACGTGGAGCTGATTGAGAGTCGTGAGCCCGTGGTGGAGGTGGAGGTTGATGGGCGGGATACGAAGAAAGGGGGCCCGTTCAAGGAGGTGGCGGACAGGAAACGCGGCAGGCCGAGGAAAGCCGTTCCGATAGTGGGTGTCAATCACCCGCCGCAGGGGAGGGAGGGGCGCGGCGGGCCCGACGAGCCGCAGCGGCAGGGCGGAGGCGCCCAGGAGGGGGGCTTGGCAAAAAAATGCATGGCCTGCGGCGAGGAAAAGGGGCTGGCGGACTTTCCTGTCAAAGGCAAGCTGAGCATAAGGGTGTGCAACCAATGCAGAGAGGCTCCCAGGAGGGGCACAAGGCAGACCAGGGAGAGCGAGCGGAGCAATGGGGGTGAAGGCGGAGCTGCGGGCAAGGGCGGGGAAGGCAATGATCTGCCGTCCGCGCCCGCTAAGAGGGGCAGACAGACATACAGGCAGGTGGGGGACCGCGGTGGGGATCATAAGGACAGCGAACGCAGAGAGTGTGCGTTGAAAAGGAGGAAGGCATCGGCCTACCAGGAACGATCCGTTGTTGGTGGGGCGTCGCTTCGGACGGCCTTGTTCAGGGAGCAGCAGGCTGCTGCCGGGCTGATGGCTTGCCTTGAAGCTGACACGGAAAGCACAAGCCCAGATGGTGCAGCCAGGCCTTCGAGGGCACAGCTCACGTCTAAAAAGGATGATGGGCGCGATCACAGGGAAGCTGATGGGGCCAGTGTGTCCACTCAAAACGAATCAGAAGATGGCAACCTGCACCTTCGCACAAAGGCTCCATGGAAGGATGTCCTGCCAGAAAACCGCCCGTGGGCTGTGCGTGGTTTTTCTGGGACAGGAGGGAACTCCAGGGGAAATGGCATGTTTGGCCAAAGTGTGGAAATGCAGAGAGGGATGCAGGGGCCAAGGCCTGCCTATCTGGACGTCAAGGAGATGGACTTGGAGACGGAGTTTAGAAAGTTGGAGGGCATAAGTGTGGATATGGACTGCAGACCAAACGCGGTACACCAACTGGCATGGCACACAGATTCAGTAGCAAAGCGGTATGCCAAATGGGGTCCACCCATTCATGGTCGCCCAATGCCAGGGGACCAGTTAGTCCTGCGCAAGCTTGCAAACGATCAGTTTTGCATGGAAAACAGGGATGTGCCCATCAGCTCAAGGACAGTCAGTGACGATGGTGCCCTGGCCGTAGGCATGTACGCTGAGGAGAGTTCGCAGTGCCCGCCAGTGGTGCCCTGCATTGTCAGCCAGGGTTCACAGGAAGTGCTGCAGAAATGGTGCAAGAGATGCATGCGATTGAAACCGCTTACTGAGTTTGGGCGGCACCTCAACAGGGGAAGCAGCCTGCGTTGGTGCAAAGCCTGCACGGCTAGACGCAGAGACAACGAGCTCCGGCGGAACTGCATTAAGGGTGCGCCAAGAGGGGAGAACATGAGCCCACCTGCATACGGCTTTGGCAACAGGCCCCCTGAAATGGCAGAAGGTCGCCAGCAGTGGCAGAAAATCTCTGTGGCAGGATTGAACTGTGAGGGGGGCACCAGCAGGAGTCACAATGCCAGACAGCCCCTGGGATACTCTGATCCCCAGGTGCTGTGCTCAGTGCGCCAGCATGAGATGGAGAGCCGCCAAGATGACGGACAGGGAGGTGATGCATGTGCAGCTCACTGGCATAAGGAGCACAGGCATCTGCCTGCCCACCAACAGGTCGTTCTGCAGCGTGGCGTTGTCAAAACCTCTGGGCGCCACATGGGCCAGCCTGTGCACCATGCGACAGATGTTCCATCTGGAAACGGGCGTCACCTGCAATTCCAGGCCACAGGGCCCTTGGGCCAGAAGCCCCCTGGTGGTTGTAGCTCGCAGCCCCAGAATCTCATCCCCGCAGTCCATGCTGGGGATTTGCCAACGGATCCCCATCTGGTTCGGCAGTTTGGCGTCGATCCACCTTGTGAGGAGCCACCCACCTCCAACCGGGAGTGGGGGTACCGTGAGCTGCAGCAGGGAGGCGTCGCAAGCCCAGGGCACCACAGCAGAAGGAACAGCAAGGATGAATATGACTATGCCAGGGACGAATATGAGTATGCCAGGCTGATGTCAGGAAGAGGGAGGGAGGAGCTGAGGCGACTGACGACTGTCACAAGGTCTGAAGACATCGTGATGGAAGGGCCTGGCAGATGTGTTGATGAGCCGCTGAGTGGTGACGGGGTGGCATGTGCACATGCGGAGGGTGGTGTCGGCCAGGGGGAAGGGGGCAGCGGGAAAGCGTACAGAGAACGGCCCAGGGCGGTGTCTGCCCAGTGCACCCGGTGCTGTGAGGTGAAAGCCGCTGGGGAGTTCTACAGGAAATCGTCGAATGCCAACGGGCTGCAGGCTTGGTGCAAACTGTGCCAGAAGGAGTGGCACAGCCCAGGAAGGCAGGGGGCCTCTGTGGACACATCGTCAGGCAAGAGTGGGTCAGCTGGGCATGAAGTGAATGGCAGCTGCAGGGGCAATTCAGACGGCATCCATGGAGTGGTAACAGTGGTGTCCAGTGGTGGAGAAGAAGGGATCAATCTGCAGGTTGAGGAAGCCCCAGAGCACGGTTGCACAGAACAGGGGGTCATTTGGCAGGATGCACAAGAGGCACCATGGTCTCGTGTGGACCAGGTGCAACGTGCAAGAAGACAGCCTCACTACACTGCGAAACAGCTGGCATCTCAGCAACTGGAGTCCAGGATGCAATACCTTCGCGGCCAGCCCGCCCAGAGCTTGTTAGATATTGACGGCAATGGCCAGGTCCCTGCAGCAATGCACTTGCAACCTAACGGCCACTACATTCCTGGCGACATTCGCATATCGAGCTCGATGTTTATGATGGACCACCACGGGTGCCTCCAAAGCCAACCGTCACGGCAGGATCTGAGGCCCAGCCGTCTTCCTCAGGCCACTCCCTCTACTGGCGATGTTGATGGCCCCGATGCTGTGGCAAAGACATCTGCAGGCCCATTGGCAAGGGTTGGCCATCGTAGAAAGAATGCCAATCCTAGCCGCCTGACTGATCCCCCACAGTCTCCCAAGGCTCATGCTGAAGGTGGCTCGGGCTCTTTTGTGGGGATGAAGGAAGGCGAGTTTACCCTTGGGGGGATGGTTCCATGGGACATCCCACCGATGGTGATGGGACTGGTAGAGTCAATGACCGAGGAAGGCATCCAGGAGTGCGTAACTGCACTAGGATTCATGGGGTTCGTCCAAAAGCTCATGTCCTAGGGTTCTGCACAGGCAAGAGGACGACTGGCCGCATCGGTGTTCTGCTTGTGCAATCGCCCAAAGTCGGTATGGTGGATTGTGTGCCTGGCTTCTTTGCAAATGCATAGCCAGGGGTTGAAGAGCACTTGAATCGCAGGTTCAGACACCAAGCTGCGTTTCAGCTGTGTCATTCATCGTCCCAGTGCCTGTGGAACGATCCATGTGAAACTATTCGCTCGCCTCGGTGTGACAAAATCACCTGTTGGTTGCAATGCAGATTCTGTCTGGCAGGGAAGGCCAGCATCAGCACTGATCCTTGTGCTGTGCTGGCCACTGCAATCCAAAGTCCTGCAGAGTCGTCACAGCCTTGGTGTGGGCAGAATTGACACAATTGAGCCATTCCTACCATGTGGACAAGTAGTTGGTAGATACGACTGCAAGCACAGGATCAGGAATGTCGAGTCGAGTTTTCAGACTACAAGGGCAAGAATCTCTCACACATTGATATGGTACTCCCCATCCTGTGTCCCAAGCCGTCAAAAACGAAAATAATATTGATGAGTCCTCTGCCACACAGGGATGACCTGTGTCTATTGGATGACCCACAAACTGCAGGCCAGCAACAAGTGGGATGCGACCTCGTCGTCGACGGGCACACTCCCAACCATTGACCACATCTCACTTTCCGTATCCTTCCCTACTCTCAGTAAGGATTGCATATCCACATCTGCTGTGGGCTGCCAGCAGCATGGTGGATGTGTGTCGGTCCTTAACAGAACATCGGTAATGGTCTCGTATTCTGGCTTGAAACCGAGTATGCAGGCAGCTTAGGACTTTGGCGCCATGATGAGCTTTAGCAAAGGATGCACATAAACCAGAGCCAAAGGGTAACAGATGAGGTGCAGCACAAATATCATAACATATCATCAGGTATCGAAGCATGGCAAGGACTCCACCAATGCTGTGGGACACAGTTTCTGCTGCTGCCATCCGTGATACGCATCCAGTCGTGGCTGCGAATGCCTGCATGCCCACGACCCTGCAATACCCTAAAAGTGGGTGCATCCATGTGGTATGTTTAAAATGGTGCCTGGCGCTTTTCAGACATCGCGAAGGACACTCAACGGTGCAATCTGCAAGGTGCCTGGTACAGAACAAGCACGATCAACAGCGGCACAACACAGATTCAAGCTTCAAATCAAATAACTGGTTATATCAAATGAACGTGGTTAAGAATCAACAAGCTATGGTACGTTCGTTTCTGGAGCCTTGAACATATCCACACAGCTATGGCAGTGGTACTTCATCTATGTGCCTTGTCACAGCCTGCAGAATCTCCTTGACCGGCTTGTGGGTGTTGTCGGGCGTTTTGGCTACAATGCACCAACGCTCACCGTGCCGGGGCTGCGATTGAGTACACCTGGGAAAACAGGAGAACCCGCAAATTAGCACCAGGAATATGCTTGTGGGGACTGAGGAACAATTGCTTGATGCTGCAGCACCAAGCATCGCCTGCAATGCACAACAGGTTGCATTCGTTCTGTGACATCGATCGTGTGCAATCCACAGAATCAACAGCCAGCAGCACATTTCATAAGTCGCTTCATGCCTAGGTACAAAAACGCTCATCAAAGCCAGGCAAAGTCCTTGTTGCCAAGACAGCCAACATGCACCAGATACTACCTAAGCATCAGCATTCCATACCAAGTTATGATGATATTCAGTAGTCAGCAGTGGGCCACATGATTGCAAACCAGTGCAACTGCAGCAACGTGGCCACGAGTTCAACAGCAAATGCTGCGTGCATTCACGACAAGTTGCATCTCCTGATGTGGAGTTGATAACAACAGCAGTTGCTGCGCGCCCTTGAAGAAGAACTGCCCAACACAGGCGTTTCTAGGCATCCTGAGAACTGGCGCCCTCCAGGGCCCCAAGCATATCGATTGTCCTCACAGGGTAGCATGGCCACCACAGGTTGAAACGACAACGCAAGGATGCTGTGGGTAGCGAAGCACATCACTTTGACTGAAAGAGCATGTGCCAGGCAATGTGAACACCCATACTGAACCAGAACTGTGCAATGAGACTTTCATGGATGCAGCGATTGATGTGATGCGGTAGTCTCCACAGTGACAGCAGCACCACATAACAGATAACCACATGAAGAGCAACAAACACATGCACTCAAGGGGGATGCTATGGGCTATATGAACAGGACAGTTGAACAAGCAAGCTGTAGCGTACCGTTCAATCACACTCTCCTGCTGCTCGGGTGTTCCATGCTGCATCTCCAGTTTGAGGAGCAGCGCCCAATGGTCTCCAATGTCTGAATCTAGTGTCACAGCACGGTTCAACCAGTTCCGTGCCTTCACGATCTTTCTGTTGCTGAGAAACAGCTCAGCCACTGCAGCGATAACATACGGATCGTTGTCACAACGGTCCAGGGCATCCGCGCACTTCCCCTTCATTTGTGCCCTTGGTGCCATTCGGATGGCCTCTGACAGCAGGAGACCGCTCGTTGGGCAGTCTTGCAGGGATTTGGCCAGCAAGTTTTCAGCAATATTTGTGTTGCCGGCACGCCGCTCAGTTCGGATTGCAGCCAGCCACAATTCCGGTGTTTTAGGCATCTTCTTCCGGGCCTGTTCTAGCAGGTTGCGAGCTACCAACACACGGCCCTCATTTTCCTCAAGACGAGCGGCAGCCCTGTCCAGCAGCACGACAGCAAACATCGGTCAACGGATGGGTGCAGCAAATGGTGCAGTGCACATCTGCAAACAAAGGTGGTGCAGTTGGGACATGCAACAATACACCATCACCTGACAACAGACACAGTTTCGTAGGCACCAATGTGTCGTGAGTTTCCCAGGAACATGAGGAACAAGCAAACTGCTATATGGAGGTGTCAACATGTCCTGACAGGTTTCCACGACACAAAATGTACTGAAAGACACCCCCTTGGCTGGACACACCGCCATGGGATTCATCTACAGGAGCTGAGTTATCTCAAGCACTGAACATGCCATTTCCTTTCAAAGGAGTAGACATTAATGACAAGTGATGTAACCCTGTAAACCCAGTGTAAAACAAGCACCACAGCCAGCGTTGGTAAAATGATGCTATCCTAATGTCTCTCAACTCCTACTTCCAAAGTGCAGTGCTGTCCATGCATCTGGCAAGGCCCTTCTTGTACACGGCTCGTGCTCTCTCTTTGTCCCCGTTTTTCAGCTCCAGCTGACCTGCCATGAGCCACAACTTAAAAAAATATGGGAATTTCTCCAGGCCTTTCTGCAGGAGCTCTGACTCCCTCTCAGTGTTATTGAATTCCCGCTCCACAACGGCAGATTTCATCCAAACACGGGGGGTGCTGGCTGTGCTGCCACGTGCCTGCAGTAAAAACACCCCACGCTATTTCAGGAACATATCATTATGGTCACAAACAGGCCAGTGGTAACCATGAAGTCCCCTAAACGCAGAATGGAATGCATGCAGCAAAAGCAGTCAGACACATGCACAAACTCACACAGCCAGCAACGGCACAACTCTGCACAATGCACAACCACTTGAAGACCGCAATAAGCTGAGCCGCAAGTAACACATAAGTGAGCAGGCCTGGCATCTTGGATCCTGGATACTGATTTTGCTGACCTGGCTGTTGCTACAGCTTTTGCACGTGGTAAAGTTGTTACCATAGTGGTTTTTCACACATACAAATGTGTCAAGTCTGACCCAACAATGTACACATCTAGGCCATCATACTAGGTGCATGCAGCCATCATGCTGGCCTGCTCATGGCCAGCATCAAAGTAGTTTGTCTGACCTTCTCAAGAATTTTCCTTGCTCTTTCAGGCTCTCCATTTTCGAATTCCAACTTGAAGGCGGCCAAATAAATTTCTTCACTGTCAGGATTCGCTTCAAAAGCAGATTGCAATATGAGACGTGCGGCAGGCACATCTCCAGCCAGCCACTTCTCCTTTGCAGCCATGAGCCAAAGAATCTCAGCCTGTGGACAGTATCTTATGGCCCTCATCAAGAGCTCATCCAAGGAAGCCTGAGTTCCGTGCAATTTCTCGAGTTGAGCAGCACCCCTGTATCATACAACAGAGCGATGAATGAGTACCTGGCTGTCATGTTGCATGCATATGCAAGCAGCCAGTACACAAGAGAATCAAACTCATCTCGAAGCTCAAAAGTGCAGAACACTACAGGACACTGCAGCCAAAAGGCAGAAGGTTGACAGAACTCCTTGTGCCATGATACAGCTGCTTTGCAGAGACCGACCTGGAAATTCTCTTGACACATCGTGCTAATGCATTCATGATTGAATTCAAATGGTCCACAGCAGACTCTGGAGATATGACCTCGGTTCATCCAAAAATAAATTATCTGAGAAGAACTTCTGTGGAGCCCTTGCAAACCACAAGCAGTCCATCTCTTTTGGAGCAAATTTCTCACCTCCAGACAGCATACTGTCCTGGGAACACCGTGAGGGTGTGCTTGTAGATGGCGCGTGCTGTCTCAACACTGCCCCTCCGCTCGCATTCCTCTGCATCTGCCAGCCAAGTGCGCTGCCTGTCCTCCTCCTCAACCCCCAATGCCACCACGCCTTCAACAATGGCAGCACAGGTAGCCAGCATTGGAGGGTTGGCCCGTTCAGCATTCTCAGCCTCTTTCAGCCATGCCTCCCTGAGTGACAAAACAGAGCCAGGCAAGGCCAGGATAAGTCAAACAAGGCATGCAACTGCCAGCATATACAGAAAAATCTTTCAGAATGGAGACTGTGGTTCAGACCAGTGGCATGCCCGGACGATGACTAGATCAAAAATAACAATTCATACAATTGCACACCAAGGGGTAATAACGATCCTTCATGAGGAGTGACTCATTAATCTGTATCACAAACACCTAAAGGTATGAAATCGGCACAAGCAAACATTGGTGCGCAGTTGCTCGATCTTCTGCCTCCAGAACCTGTCAATGACGACTCCATTTGTCTTGAGGGACTCCACTGCACGTGAGATGAGTCTCTTAACCATCTTCACATTGCCTTGCGCCTCCTCGAGTTTGGCTGCAGTTATCCATATCGAGTGGTCGGTAGGAATGGCCTGTCTTGCTTTGTTCAGCACCTTTTTTGCATTCTCATAAGTTTCCAAGCGTGCCAGCGCCAGCCAGAGTTCAACATGCTGAGGGCAGCATTCCACAGCCCGTGACAGAAGGAACCTGGCATCATCTTCATTCGCCAGTTCCACAGCAGCCTTCCACAGTCTCACTGAGTTGGGAATCTGCTCCAATGCCCTTCTTAACACTCGGCTCTTGGCGGCTTCGTTCTGCAGTTTCGCACCCAAGACAAGATATCAGTTGTGAGCACCCCATTATCAATGAAGGAATGAACAGCCACTGCCAAAGCCACATCTGAACATAATGGGTGACATTAATGTTCCATGGCACAGTTGCAACATTCTTCAGAAGATGGGCACAATACCAAGCAACAAAAGCAAACTGGCAAACAGAGCAGGGCATGTAGGAAAGTACCCAGAGTACAAAGCTGCAAGAGGTGAAGCAATATACGTACCGTCTCTAACCTTGCCGCCTGCATCCAGAGCTTCACAGATAATGGGTTAAGAGCGACGCCTTGTGCCAAGACAGCCTTGGAATTGTTTGGGGGCTGCAGCCGGGCAGCCTCCAGCCACACATCCTCACTGTGGGGGCACTGCTCGCATCCCTTTTGGATGGTTTGCCTTGCTGCTTGCAGCTTACCTGCCTGGAGCCAAGCACAAACACAATTCAGATAATGCGTGCACTCAAGAATGCAGCAAGTGTGCTGAATCTGCACAAATCACATTTAAATGATTGGAAGATACAACCGTTCATTGGCAATAGTTTCAATATACACTGGCAGTACAGCCCCTTTGCAGTAGAATTGAAGCAGATTCGTAGATTTGCCGCATTTCACATCATAGACACAGGAGCAAAGGCTCCTCCTCAACTACAAGATGAACACACTGGCCGCCTCCAAATGTGTGTGGCCTGCTGCACCAGATATCACATGCAAGCATCGCTGCAGGGCACCAGAGCAACAGCTAGCTTGTACAGCAATGCTTACATGGGACCACACACTGTAACAAGAATGACACAATGACAGTGTATGATCTGTTTTTCTATCACCGCAGGCAGTGTCCTTTTGTACAGCCGGGAAACGTAGTTGACTAGTCACTGCACCATCAGAATGGGCTCCTCGATCGTTACACCTGATGGGCCAGGGCATGCCTTTGTGCCTCCCAATGTTCAGTGTTACAGATGCACGAGCCAACAAACACAAGTGAGCAAACCACACACAACTGCTCCTAAACATGAATCAAAGTCCACAGCGACAACAAGCAAGCAGATCTGTAGCGCTGATTCTCCAAATGGTTTGGATAGAGCTTACCCATTCCTCAAGCCGTGCTGCTGCAATCCACCCTGGAGCATGTCGCTCGTTTGTTTGAATTACAGATCGCAGCAATAGCCTGGCCTCTGATATCGTGTAACCGTTATCCAGCCCCATGCTTCCGTTGATCCAACACGCCCAACAGAAACAGAGTCGGCCATTGTGTCCAGTTTCAGGCCAAACATTGTGGCACGGCCCTCACCTGCACAAAGGAATGGTGCCTTTGGAATTATGCAGAATTTGATATTCTGAATGAGCACCTTCCGAGCAGCCATGCACTGCGCAGCATAAATTCCTTCAGAGGTTCATCTTGTCGGCGCAATGGAGCAGTGCACTGGACAATCGAGATCAGGAATGCATGCAACTGCAACATCAAGGTCGCGGTGCCTACAATCTGCTCTGAACACGGAAAACCTCAGAGTGGTGCTTGTCTCCATGTCCATGCCCAGCTGCCACTATAGCTCAAAGGGCATTTTCACAAATAACAGTTGCCTTTGATCATCCGTTGCTCAGTCCTTGTGCTTTGTGCAGAAACAATTAGAAGTTGGAACACAATGCAGGAACATCGCAGGAAGGTGAGTTGTGAGCACATGACCTTATTGTGGTGACACCAGAAAGCGCACCCACTTCTATTGGAGAATGGGCGGAAGATGCGTATGTTGATGAGTACTTTATCTGGCGACAAGAGAAATAGCAACAAGCGCATGGCAGCAATTATTTCAGACTACCTTGCACACATGCTCGGCATTCGTTCGCACTATCAACGGGGCTGGCTGTTCCGGGGCTGGCTGCACTTAGTGACCACATTGCATGGACAGGATGAACTCAGGCTGGCCCGCCAGTACACTCACCAACAGCAGTGAGGTCTGTCATGGTGGAGGCAGTCCCAGCCAATGGTGTTTCCAGACCAGGATCGACCTTGTTCACAAGCTCCTTCTCTGCTGCAGCCTTGGCCAACAGTGTGTCAGGAGGAGGCACAAAGCTCTGCATGCGGCGGTGCTTCTTAATTGTGTAGTCGCCAATGTCAGGAATACTGTTCCAGTCCGTTTCGCTCACATCGGCTAGTTTTCGCTTCAGGTCTGCGAATTGTTCTGTAATCTTTGGGTTCTCCGAGCGAAATTTTTCAATTTCATCCTTGAGACGCTTCTCTCGCCGGTCCTGCACACAGAACCAACAACGAGGGAACTCAGGGAGAAGCATCCATCCTTGCGCATGCATGATTGCAGCAATGAAGAATTCTTGACAACATAATTGCAATTTAGCAACTCGATAATCTACAGATCTATGGCCAATTGAGGGCACATGAATCTATCCAGTCACCATTGATTGTGGTTATAACTTCTACCACTTGTGAAATATGAAATGGGCAACATGTTTGTCCATTCCCTGCACAGAGCAGTGGAGCAGTGAGCAGTGTGCTTTACTCAGCCTCACATTCATGCCACCAACTGCATTGTCTGTTTCACACTGTTGCAATACTCTTTTAACTGTGTTGCTTCTTTCTTTTGCTGTTTCAACCTACTTGCTAAAGGATGGCACGGTGCTGTCAGTCGCCAACATCTGGGATTTGAATGCTATGCATCTTGCGCAAGGGGTGCACCGTTTTTCTGGATGTCACCCATTCAGATACCTGAAGCTCTTTCCACAAAATGGAACCTGGTTATGTCTATTGGAGCTGATCAGCTGCCACAAGACATCAGTCCAAATGGACCAGCTAGCGAGGCAACAACACATATCTGAAATACCACATAGAGAATGCCTGAAACAACTGGCCAAGCTCAAAACCGCAAGTGTGTGGACCCACAAGGACTTCATTCAACTACGACTCTGGCACGTTCTGGCTGCCTCCCACTTTTCTTCACTGCTGACACTTTCCTTCATTGCTGACAACTCAGGGACCCAAGCACCTTTGCGACCAAAGATGACATACCCTGCGCCTCAAGTCCATGTGCCTGTCGATAGCATCCCAGACCTCATCGGCTTCTCGATCATCTTCATCATAGTCCCCCCACGTACCGGCCAACATTCCAGAGTCGTTGCCCATGAACTCGTCGAAGCGAGAATCGTCCATCTCATTTTCTTCTTCGTTCTCGCTTCGGCGCATCCCAGCACCACCCTGGCAGAAATCAGTGTCAATGGAACAGTTGAGCAGAAGCAACAATCCTGGTTCAAAGAAAACTGCAGCAAACTCTGTGTAGATGGAACTACGGTTGAGGCAGAACAAAGAGGGGCTGTTGTGCTCGAATTTGTGGCAGACCCTTTTAACACAAGGGAAGGTGAGGCAGGGTTCCCAAAACGACAGCAGGAATGACAGGGAGTTGCATCCAAGACCAGAAAACGGATTGTGGATCAAACGTCGCCTGCTGCTCAATAAGGGCGGGAGAGCCACAGCGCCGCCTTCTGTGCACAAAGCTCAGAGACGAGTTGGGCAAGCCCCCACACAATGGTGCGGGCTGGTCAGTCGCGCAGGCAGCACGTGACTTGAACCTCGCCCTTTCACAGGAATGCCCCGCCGGGTTGGCCAACAGATCGAAGACAGCATGCGGCCACCCCCAGGGTCCAACTCACGGTGAGGTTGGAGGGAACTTCCGGCGCCATCCGCGCAGGCCCAATGTCCGACCGCGTGGTGAATCCTGTGGCGCCGCGGCCCAGGCCGGGCACGTAGTTGGCGGGCGGAGGCACGCCATTTAGGTCAAGCTTCTGTCCAGGCGCCTTGGACGGCGGTGGCCTCATGGCCATGGCTGCAGGCTCCCACGCAGGTCGGCTGGCTTGGGTCCCGGCGCTGTGGCTGACCGCCTGGCGCACCCCAGAGCGTGTCCTGAAACAGTCTTTCTAATGACCCAATTGTGTGCGTCTGGAATAGGGTTCAATTGCGAATCTGTTACGAAGAAGCCTACAGAACAACTCCTTGGCCTCCGCTCTGATGTGGCCGCAGCGCAGACCCACATTGGCATCTGCTTTCTCCCTTACCCGCGCGCAACATCCAGGGACAGCAGCAGCGTTGAAAACGGGGGGGGACTGGGTACCGCCCTAGCTGCGGCGGAGTCGGGGATCGACAGGTGCCCAGCGCCCATCGCTGGCTGTCGCATTTCGTCCCATTGAGAGGTGGTGCAGGTACGTTTTCAGCGGGTACTGTTCTCTTTAATGGTTGCAACCAGCGGCCAGAGCGGACAGTGACCGCGTGGCGCCTGGAGCACGCCTTTGCGAAGAATCGAACAGCCCAGTTGCTTGGTTTTGCAACACAAGGGGAAGGACCAGACGACAAACTCGTGACTGTGTCCCACTCAACGGAAAATCGCGACGGTTGCAGTGTCTCGGGATGCATCACAGGTGAATGCAGGGCCTGGTGCAGGAAATTGGACTGATGTGAAATCAAGTTAGGTTCTACCAAATCAATGGTGGCATCAAGGGCAACAAACTTATCAGACTGTTGGCGAAGCCGCATGTCCTGCTTCTGCAAAAAGTTGTTGGCCAAACCTGGGCAATGGGGGGTCTGAACTTGCAAAAGAAGATGCTACTGCACTCTAGCCTTGGCTGCTCAAAAGGCTTGGATTTTAGACTACTTTTGGCACAGTGATCAGCAGCGATGTCTGCATCCTGTGGACCAGCCGAGAAGTTACTGGAGGTACATGGAGTCAGTTCTGGGGGAGAAAATGCCCAACCCAAACCATCAAATTCAGCTGCCGATATTTCAAAAATGCAATATGAGGAATGTGGTGATTTTGTTTGGGTTTTGGAAGGGCTCAGGCAACTCGATGGGTTGAGCATTTTTGAATGCCAGCATGGGGGAGTGGCCACAGCACTGCATATCAGAAGGGGCCCAAGCAGCTCCCTACCCTGTGAGCGAGATGCAACGAAATCGCACTGTGGATGCTTGTCACCACCTTGAGAAGCGTATAGTGCATGGTCAGTGCGCCGTCACTGGTGGTGATAAAGTTCCTTAGCCATCCCGGTTCGAGGTCCCGCTCGTCGCAATCGAATGCACGCGCAGCGATGGGCCACAAGGCAGCACAAGTCAAACCGTTTTGGTTCGACCTCTGTGGCAACCTTGGTGCACGCGGTGCCCAAACGCACTCGCCGTGCATGGTCGGACAAGCAGCCAAAACTCAACTTGTCTTACAACCAAACCAAGAGAAGCCACGAACAGTCTCGGGCTCTCTTTAAATACCAGAATGCGCCTCTTCTTTCGCCCACCAGCACTCACACTCAGAGCGCCGGATTGAACTCACACTTCACACACGCACAACACGCTACCCCACAGCACCGACCCATGGCATCGACCCACGGCACCAACCCACAGCTCCACCCAACAATGCCAACTCATGATCCCCAAA